AAATAATGCAGGTTGTATGCAGGCTGCTGTGGGGTGAGTCCCTCATTCAAAGCCAGTCTGCCTGATTTAAGGAGCCAGCATCAGTTATAAGCTCAGGGAAACGGAGTCACTGTGTCCTACCTAGTGCCTTGCTGTCAGTGATTCCCCCAGTCTGCCCGTCCCTTCCAGGCAGCAGGCAGGACTCCTGTTGCCTCCTTTAAACCCAGCCCATTTAGTTCAGCAATTTCAGATCATAACCCCGGACCACAATTATTTTTTTCTTATTTTGTTTTTGAATGACAGCTGTTGGCTGCTTGCACAGCCTGCCACAGGGGAATTGGCAGTGTGTGTAGCCTTGCTAGAACAGAATAAATTTCTCCCTTTGTCTCTTCTTGAAAACAGTTGGCCGAGAAATGACCTCAGGACTTCACTTTGGAATTCTGTGACACCTACAACTTGCAAGCTTCTACCAGGTCACTTTGCGCATAGGGACGCACATGTTTCCCATGCAGCTAAATATGATTTATCATAGGTTCTAACTTTGTTTCTTAGCACTCACTCTCCTTGCACTTATTTGGAGGCTGGTAGCCTCTGTGAGTTTCATTGCTTCTTAGTGCATAGGTAGAAGTGGCAGCATGTGACAATTCAGAGGATTGAACAGTCAAAGGAGTGAGCATGTTGACATGTGGCACTGTGTTACATTAAAGATTATGTCAACAGCTCGTGTGGCAAATACACTGTATTTGCTTCAACTAAATAACCAGGTCTGAAAGTCAAAGGAACCAAACCTCAATATAGTCAAGGAGGACTATAGTCAGCCGGGGTCTGGACACAGTCAGCCAAGGGGCTCGCGCGATTTCAGTCTGGTGTGGGGCGATATGATAAAAGAAGGCGTTGAAGATGATGAAGGTGGATGGAAGGGTGGTCAGTCAACACGGTGGCACAGTGATACTTCGCCCAAAACACTTTCAAGAAAGCTGGTATGGGATCTGTCATACTGCACTATACCCATAGATGAGATGCCTTCAAAATAAATACTAAATAACAGTCAGTGAATTATAAAATGTCAGAAATCTGATCTCAGTGCTCAGGTGATACCCACAAAATCACTCAAGATACTCTGAGTACATGAACCTGTGTACATACATTACTATCACATCCATCCAACCCTGAGGGGCACTCTGACAGAGGGAGCATGCATAGTGTTAAGAGAATATCATTTTACATTTATATAATGTATACTTGTACAGATATAAGTGCATATCTTTGTGCACCGACAAGGAGAAACATTGCAAGCCATTGGTCCATTACTAAATCAACTTTAATGTAAGAAAGTCTGAAAAAAGAACAGCATTGTAGGATTGTTTTCCATTGTAAGGTTTTCTTAGATATCTTTGCTTCCCCGTCTTGGGATATTTATCTTTTGTTGAGATGCATTCAAATTTAATTCTGTTCTGTAATTCTGCTAAAAATTTTTCTTCCAACACCCAGTTTGATTGGGATAGCCTAGTTTGTAGACAACATATGTAGCCAATATTACCCCAATGATCTGCTTAGAAATGCAGAAGGTTCTCCTCTCTCACCTGTTATCGTGGGTCCTCTTGTAACAACTGTGATTTCTAAAACCCCGGCTTGCCATTGCAAAAATTAAGATTAGAAAATAATCTTCAAGGAAAAAAAAAATTTTGCCAAAGAGTCTGGAATTTTTGGCTGTGTGCAACCAAATGGCCTTTCACTGCAGTTCACTGGAAATCAGTTATAACACTCAAAAATCTAAACCCAAATTAAATTTCTGTTATCTTCTGTGCTAGTTTAAAAAACATTGTGGTGGAAACTGACTCTGTCACAAATCTGATACGCCTACAGATTGAATTAACTGTTACAAGTTTCCATTAATTTGCAAAATTCGTGGAGACTTTATGAATAAATGTGAGGTGTTGCATTTTGTTAAGACAAACCAGGGCAGGACTTACACAGTTAATGGTAGGGCCATGGGGAGTGTTGTCAAACAGAGAGACCTGGGGGTGCAGGTTCCTTGAAAATGGTGTCACAGGTAGACAGGTTGGTGAAGAAGGCGTTTGGCATGCTTGTCTTCATTGGTCAGAGCATTGAGTACAGCGGTTAGGGTGCCATGTTATGGCTGTACAAGACATTAGTAAGGTTGCATTTGGAGTACTGCGATCAATTTTGGTCGCCCTACTCTAGGGAAGATGTTATTAAACTGGAAAGGGTGCAAAGAAGGATTGACAAGGATGTTACCAAGACTGGAAGGTTTGAGTTATAAGGAGAGGCTGGGACTTCTTTCCCCTGGAGTGTAAGAGGTTGAGGGGTGACCTTATAGAGGTTTATGAAGTCATGAGGGATATAGATAAGATGAATAGCCAAGGTCTTTGCTCCAGGGTAGGGGAGTCCAAAACTAGAGGGCATTGGTTTAAAGTGAGAGGGGAAAGATTTAAAAGGAACCTGGGACTAACTTTTCACACAGAGGGTGGTGCGTGTGTGGAATGAGCTGCTAGAGGAAATGGTAGGGCTGGGTACATGAATAGGAAAGGTTTTGAGGGATCTGGGCTAAACACAGACAAATGGGACGAGTTCAGTTTAGAAAACCTGGTCAGCATGGCCGTGTTGGGCTGAAGGGACTGTTCCCTTGGTGTATGACTCTGTGCATCCTTTTGTTGCCTACTTACAGTTGAACAAAACTTGCATCAGAAATGAAATCAGTTCTTCCAAAATTGACTTTCTCTTACTTTAATGTATCCACCCAAGCTGAATTCATTTAATTCTTTTGTATTTTGCTTGAGGATTAGGAGAGATTTCCTGTATCCCTTTCCTTACCTAAAGAGTTGAATGATTGCTTTGAATCTTAAGCAGTTATAGTGGTTGTAGTTTCCGCAGAGAAATGGACCCATCACAAATGTTATCCCAGAGAACTCAGTGGAAGTCCTAGAATCCTATGCACTAAAAACACACACTGATCAATCTTGATAAACATACAGCTGTAATAATTGAATATAAATATCAGCATTCTGCTCTAAAGAACATACTAATTTGTATCTTCATTTACAAGCTTATCATCTAGGTATGTGAAATGTTGTTTCATTTTGAGTAAAAGAAAGCTATAGTATGCCTTGGTGGGACTCTTACATCCCAGTTTTTACAGATGCTTTGGTGGAGTCATTGACTGTTCTAATACATCCTTCAATCATGCATTGTTGAATCATTTCAGTGAGGCTATTGTGGCTAGAATCCTCAGACAAACAAATCATTAAGTTGGTACTGTGGGTTGCATACTTTTTTCGAGAGTATGTTGTAACTCCATAATAGCTGTAGATATAATCATCATCTGTTGACAAATATTTTATTTCTAATAACACCTGCTTCACATTGTAATTTAATTTAAAATTGAAAAACTAAATCCCCAACAATACAATTATACCAGCTGAGAATACCTTCCAAGTGACTCAGGCAAACTTGTAGGTTTGTATTATCGCTATTATATTTAAAGGGTTTCTATTCCTGACCCACCTCTAATTCGACCTTCAGACTATCAGCCTTTGTGTTAAATCCACTATCTGCATTTTGATTATCTGGTATTTATTAATGTTGTCGTTGATTACAGTGTCATTTCTGTCACGTTTCTCTTTCACCATTTCCTCCCATCACAAAAGCAGCTCTATCAAAATGTGAAGATGTTAATTGCTACCAGTGTGTCCTGCCTAAGAGTATCATAAAGACTATAGCTTTGGATAACTTACCCAATCTTTGAAGAATCAAAGAATCATCCTATCTGAAATTACGATCAAGATTTTGGGCAGAGTTATCCGAATAATATTATAATATCTTCAAATTGGATCAGAGTCAGGTCGTGTTGCTTCTGGATTCAGTTGATGAGCAGTAGCTGTCTCGCTGCTATTCATATATTGATGAATTAGTGGAGAAACACTCTCTGAGATAGGTCATCTTCTGGTTACATAGCTCTAAAATGATTAAGTGGAACACCGACAATTAAAGGTACTAACCAGATTTGTACCCGTCACTTTTGTTTCTCGTTGATTAATTCTGTTTTGAGCAGACCATATGATTATTGCAATGCTCATTACATTTGTGAAGAGGAAAGCAGAGGACAAAGATAAACTAGGTTAGCAGTGGAATTACATTAAGCATCTGTTGCTATTGTACAATTTGACATTGAAGACAATCCTATCGGAAATCTGATTAATATTAACAACACAAAAAAATAACCTTGTATCTTACTCAGATTGAAGCCTGTTGAATATATCTGGAATTTGTGAAGTACTGAGATTCTATGACTTATTTTTAGTTTTTCCAAACTAATGTTTCTCAGCGCTGGAGCTGATCATTAATCGGTTTCTATGTTCTCACTTTAAACAAATATTGCTGTTTCATCTGAAGCTTTTAACTTGAATGAATGTTACATTAAGGCACAGATTTTCACTCGGATGAGCAAGTAATTTCGGTAGTATGTGAAGCGTTCCCTTTCTGAACATCACTAAGGTATCCTTCAAAATTTCTTCCTTAAGAGATACTAGAAAATGATTTTTTTAGTCTGTTGAACAATAATAAATTACACAACGTTCGATGCATTTTCACGTTTTTTTGAAATCAGGATTGGCGTGGATTAATTGTCAGCATTTGGTAGGAAAAGATCTTGAGAAAGGCTCAAAGCCATTCTGCTAGTTCTATAACTAAAGTTGAATCAACATTCATTCTGTAGTACTCCGTGTTTATGCTATACTTAATATTATGAATAAAGAGAATTAAAGCTGTTTGTGAGAGATTGCATTGAGATGTTAACAATATATTGAATTCAAGTATTTTAATAAATGCTACCAAATAGACTTTTAAGGTGGAAAGAGAGCAATATATATGTGCGTATAAAAATGCCCTGTAGTTTAGCTGTTAGATTTAGTTCTTTGGCTTAACCCCATTATTTATAAAGGTTTTAACAAGTGTAATTTCTAAGTATTATAACTAAGTTCACTTTTTTTCTTTATCAACAGCGGTAATGTAGTCATTGAAACCAAATTCTATGACGATGATCTTCTTGTAAGTACTTCCAAAGTCAGACTTTTCTACGTCTGAAGTGAATTCTCTACTGTTTGGTACGAAATGTCTTGCTGATGACAGACGGATGAGACATTTTTCAGCGTCATGTGACCAATGGACCAGCTGTACCTGGATGGCAACTGGCAAATTAAGTTCTTCAGAATTGAATTAGAAGATTGGAATAAGCAAGACTCCAAGTACAAAAGAACAGAACTTTTGTAACAGAAATATGGGCAGTAACACTTAAATACTGTACTTTCTTGAGACCAATGTTGTACATTATTTTAAATGCTTTTTGTTTTGCTTTGAATCTGTATACATTGTTTTCCTTCCTTAATTTGTACCATGCATAATTTCACTTCAAGTTACTTTAGAATTTTGTCTATGTTGATTATTTAGTTCTTTTTTATTGACTGCTGTAATTTGTGACACAATTCTCAGTTGTAACGAAGTGTAAAGTACTCCTAGTATGTTACTTAAGTTTATAATCCATAATTAAGTAAATGATAGGACTGAGCAAGATTGCAGTCTTAAAGAAATAAAAGCTGTTGCTTCTGTATTTTAAAGTCAAATTTAGTTAATTCGTACTGTACATAATTGTGCAGTATCATTTTATAGCATGTTTTGGCTGCAATTTTTTAAGATCCAGTATTAAATGAGTTAGCCTTAAGTAATTATTCTAAGTAAAGAATCTCATTTAAAAAAAATAACTATAGGATTGTAAACAGCACAAATTTTTCTATGCAGTTGGAGACACAATGCAAAATATGTTCAGTATGTTAGTGAAGGGTGGAAGAAGACACTCATATGGCAGCTAGTTAGTTGCCAACAGCCACTGCACCCCATAAGCTACTGACGCACTTATACCCTTTATTTTCTGAGTGGTCTAACATGCGGTAGCACACTTTAAGTGGGGACACAAAACATAATAAAATATTGAAATTTATTTACATAAATGTGACTCTCACCAGAAAATTATTAACTGCTCTTTAACTGAACTTCTCAAAATCTTTTACCTGTATCTGTTTTCCTTCATTTGTTATCGTCCCATTGTTTAGAAGTTGGCCCAGTTGAATTATTCCTTACTCTGAGGAGTACCTAGCTTCTGTCCAGCAGCATGACTGATACTAGCAATTAACTGATGCAAGCCTGTGTGACAGAAATTAGAAATTTTAATGCAGTATATTTTAAAGTTGATTGTTTTATGGCCCACGCATTCTTCTGACATACTTTCTTCTCCTATCTTTCCCTTCCTGTTGTACCCTCACCCACATATTTAATAGTTGTGTTCTCTGTAAAAATATCTTTTGCTCGTGAATTTGATCACGCAGTTGACTGGCATTAGGTTGGCTGTCAACAAACTTTTGTTCAAAGATTGCCCTGCCTGTAGATAGTTAATTAAAGATTTCTAAGGACTTTGCAACTTTCTTGCAACAGCTATCTAGTTAGGGAAAACAAAACTTTCTCACAATCTTGCAGCATTTTCAGCCAATATAATTATTTATTCCTTAGGTTTGCTCCTTGAGTAATTGAGACACATGGCTTATCACAACTGATAGATGGCATATTGCTGTGTTTCATTGTGCTTCCCTGATGACCAACAGGATGGCAAATGGTCCTATGAAGGCCCTGCAATTTACATCCTTCAGACATTTTCCACAAAATCCAAATGTCTAATAACTTAAATTGTTGATTGATGTTTAATTTGAGGATTAATTGTAGCTGTTCATGTTACTGTTTGATTCTCTGGTTATTTAATTGTCAGAAATTATCAATGATTGGGTATAATTTTGATCAACTTTTTTGAAAAATGGTGAGTGGAATACTTCCATTCCCTTGAAGGCATGGATATTGGCAAATATGGGAAGATATGGGGAAACTGAAATCAGAATCTCAACTTTGAGGGAAAAAAGTAGATTTTTTTTTCCTTCAAGGCTAATTTACCAAGTTCAGAATCTCCGTAATCAGCAACAGCTGCCTTATTTCCTTGCAATTGCATGTTCTAATATCCAAACTCACCTTACTTCTATACAGCTTCCAATTCTCTTTCTGTGAGAAGCTAACTGGTGCCAATTCTCAAATGAATGTCAGAGTGGTTTGCTGCTTGCTTCTCTGGGTCTTCATCCACCTCTTCACTGCAATGACCCTGTGTGTTCAATGGACACTGTAATCCTCCACCCCACCCCACCCCACCCCACCCCCCCAAGCAAGTCAGCATTGCCACACCAGCAACCTCATTACATCATCATGTCTGCTGTTGGACTAATTCAGCCCTCAGGACTCCACTTTGGAATTCTGCGACACCTACAACTTGCAAGCTTCTACCAGGTCACTTTGCGCATAGGGACGCACACGTTTCCCATGCAGCTAAATATGATTTATCATAGGTTCTAACTTTGTTTGTTAGCACTCACTCTCCTTGCACTTATTTGGAGGCTGGTAGCCTCTGTGAGTTTCATTGCTTCTTAGTGCATAGGTAGAAGTGGCAGCATGTGACAATTCAGAGGATTGAACAGTCAAAGGAGTGAGCATGTTGACATGTGGCACTGTGTGACATTAAAGATTATGTCAGCAGCTCGTGTGGCAAATACACTGTATTTGCTTCAACTAAATAACCAGGTCTGAAATCAAAGGAACCAAACCTCAATATAGTCAAGGAGGACTATAGTCAGCCGGGGTCTGGACACAGTCAGCCAAGGGGCTCGCGCGATTTCAGTCTGATGTGGGGTAATGTGATAAAAGAAGGCGCTGAAGATGATGAAGGTGGATGGAAGAGTGGTCAATCGGCACAGTGGTTAGCATTGCTGCCTCACAGCACCAGGGACCTGGGTTCAATTCCACCCTCGGGTGACTGTCTGGGTGGAGTTAGCACATTCTCCCCGTGTCTACGTGGGTTTCCTCCGGGTGCTCCAGTTTCCTCCCACAGACCAAAGATGTACAGACTAGGTGGATTGGCCATGCTAAATTGCCCATAGTGCTCAGGGATGTGTAGATTAAATGGGTTATAGGGGGAATGGGTCTGGGTGGTTTGCTCTGAGGGTCGGTGTGGACTTATTGCGCCAAAGGGCCTGTCTCCACACTATAGGGATTTTATGATCTATGAATCGTGATGCAGGAGAAGAAAAAAGTTCAGGTGAGTGAATAGGAAATGCAGAGGGCAAGAAGGGTTAGGAGTTTGGGAAAATTAGGTGAGTGAAAGCCATTGAATGAACAGGATGTATGCAGCAATGAGAACTGTAGTTCTTGAGCTTGGTGATAGATATGTGCAGTGGCAGAGTTAGAATGCATGGTGGTTAAATGAACATGAAGTAACAGAGAGAAAATGGTGGCACTTACCCTTGAGGAACACAAAGGTCATTCACCATCCTTTGATGCCGTGTGTTGCATTTTACTTGAGACACTGCACTTACCTGGGCCATTGTTTAAACCTATGCTGTCTGTGGCCGGTGGTGTTGTCTCCTTTGCACACCTATGCTGGTAGTGGCAAGGATAAATGGCATGATTGCACAATGGTAGGATTTGCAGGGGAAGAAAGTGGAGTTAGAGCATGAAAAAGTGCAACAAGGAGACATTGGTGTTTTGGGGGTGGGGGAGGGTGTAGTGTCAATGTGATCCAATGGAGGAATAGTCTGGCCTATAGGGTGGGACCCATCATTTAAGATTGACAACACTGTGATTATCCAAGTGTGTATATCCACCAACGGAGCTGTACAGATTCAGCTGTCATATGTCTGGATTCAATTGGGAGGAGGCTGGTGGATCATATGAACAGGGTTTTCAAACATTGGGATGGCCAAGTATCTGTTGGGATTGGCATCTATATCCCAGTGGCCAAAGGAAGTGTTCTGCGAGATAACTGCAGTGTCAGTGATGAAGGGATGCACTGATTGGACTTCACATCTTCTGTGTTTGTTTTATCTGCACCATCTTTAATGTAGGTAACCGATTCTACATATGTGCATGTGTGGGACGTGTACCAAAAACTATATCCCAATGTAAAGGAATACTCAGACATTTCAGCTCACTGTTAATTGGACATGGCTGCTTCATAGCCATACAGAAAGTGCAACATGAGCGCAGTAGTTCTGCCTTTTTGGAGTAGCTCCCACCAGGAAGCTGGAATTGGGAGTTCATAGGTGTGGATGGGATCCGCTTACACCCAGAACAGACCAAAACTAGAGGAGGGAACATATCCAAAGATTGACGTACAGTTCTCGTGTTGACATCTTTGGGTGGGAAGATACCTCCAGTACTAGTTCTGAAGAAGGGTCATTGGACTCTAAACATTAACTGTTTTTGTTTCAGATTTCCAGCATCTGCAGTTTTTTGTTTTATTTTAATGTTCCTCTAAGCTGCACAGCCACTCAGAGGTTCTGTGCACAATGATTGGCATGTTGGCACATTGACTTCTGGGTCTGAAAGTCACTGCAGCACAGACTTCAGACATCCACACAATGGCAGGAAGGATACAGGGACCAAAGGCTATAAGTGATGACTGTGGAGATTTGAAGTAGCTACATACAAGTGATGGTTCAGTTGGTGAGTTTAAGCGGCCAACTGATTTTGACTTCTAGTCTAAAACCAATGCCCAACTGAAAAGCTGTAGGGTTTATTTTAATAAAAAGATGTTTAGGTTGGACCATATTTTGCTAAGTTAATAAAAGCTCATATTTGCCCCCAGATAGTAATGTTTTACCCATGCTTTTGGGCTACCTTTAGGAAGCCTGTACCCATGAAAGAAGTCTCTTTTTAAAAAAAATGACTGATCTTGGTAGGTTTTTAATCTAGGGACTAGGTGTTCATACTCTTTCTGTAGTTGCTTACGCTAACTTGATGAAGTTCTGATAAATAAATTCTATGTGGTAATTTGGTCGTTTTCTACAATTTATTTTTGCTGTACTGATCGGCCTCCATTGCTTAACTTTTGAAATTTTTGCCCCTGACCTGCCTTTGCCATGAACCCAGACTTTTCCATGGCATCATTTCTGTTAATGTCTCTAGGCAGATGTACAGCCTGAGTTGGAAACTCTATCAACCACAATTGACTTCCTGCTGTCCTCCTGCAGTTAGGTAATGAACTGAACACCTATGGAAAGACAGTGGCACAATAAACATGACACATTTTCCCTCAGGAATACAATATCTTTTCTCTCTAGTCCCCCAGCTTGTCCCTGCTATGACAGTGAAGAGCTAACTGAACAAGACGGGCCAAACTCTTGCAACCTGTCCTTGGGCTTGAGCTCAGTTTTAGAATTAAAAGTGACACAATGCTGTCTCATATAGTTTTTGTTTAGAAGAATTGTGTATTTTGGATTTAATAAATGGTGAAATGCTTTGGGCAGAATTTTCGTCTCCCTATTGTAGCATAAGTAATGGCAATTGAGGTAGCAAAGTAGAGCAAAGCTGAAAGAATCGGATTCTCAATGTCAAGAAAAATTCATGTGATTTTTCCCTCGAGCCCTAAATAGCAACCAACTTTTTCTCCTTGCATTTGCATATCATTAATACCCCAGCTAACCCTGTTCACACTACACCTCCAATTCTACTCTCCTTCAGCGA